AAAAAAAAAAAAAAAACAGAAAACAAAAACCAAAACTAGGAAGCTTACTTTTAAATCTTTTAAAAATCTCCAAGGTTTTTTTCTTTTTTTCTTTTTCTTTTTTAACTACAAAGTGGAGATGATGGGCAGCAGCATCTTTGGTCACTGTCAATGTAAATTAGAGATTTGATTGCTCTCAGAAGTGTTCTCAGCGAGTTTTCCTAAAAGGCCCATTTCTGTTTGGGAGTGTGTGCGAGTAGAGAGCCAGAAGGGCTGCTTTGGGGTCATTTTGACCGTATTATTACCGTCAACTTGAGCACCCGTTTGAGAATCTCCTGGGTGGGTCGTGTAGTTTCTCAGGCCCAGAATGGCGTGCAGGCTGAAGGGCTCCCTTGGGAGTGGGTGTGTGAGCAGAGCTGGGTGGACTGTTTGATGTTGGGGGCTGGGCCCCTGTGAGTAGCGGGTGACTCACCTGGAGGGAGCTGGCACTCGGAGAGAAGCTCGTCACTGTCCTGGAGAGGTGGACTGGGGCCTGGCATACCCCTCCTTCTGTGGCCCTCCTGGTCCTGCCTTTCGATTAGGAATTGGGGAGATCTGGTTGCGGTAAGGTCTAACGCACTGTGTTTTGTCCTCATTTTGAAGTAAAAGTTCATCAGACGTCTTTAATGCAGAAGTCTGGACAGTTTTCAAGAGGAGAGACCATTTGTGCTTAGAAATGCCCAGGGAAGAGATGCTTCATTGGAAAGTATATGTCAACCTATGGAGGATTTGTGTTCTTTTTTTCTAATACATCTTCCTTCACTGGACATCAAGTTTCTCCGTGAATGGGGGAGATACACATACCGGCTGACTTAAAAGTCAGTAAAAGGTGATCAGTGGGTTTCTAAGCATGGAATGAAAGGAATGAAGAGGAGTTCTTGTTTGTTTGTTCTTGCTTGGATAAGATGTCAGAATTTTCCTTCTGAAGTTTAGCATATCTAAACAGTATTTTTCCATAGTTAGACTTTTTTTGTTTAGTCGTGAACAAGGCGTTATGGGGACTGTACATGAACACCTAGATAAAATGCATCTGCTCTTATGGTTTCTACTGGAGGAGAGAAGAAAATACAAAATTATTTCATTTTAGCCCACACACCACACCCTTAGGAACAGGGAAAGAACCATGCTGCGTTCCCAGCCACCAGTTAAAGGATGAGAAACGACATTTAATTTAGAGCATTAGGACCATTAGGGTCACCTGGTAGAAGTGATGTTTGGCTCGCTGAGTTAAGAACAAGTCTGGAGTTTTGGTTGTGTGATTTTGGCTTGTTTTTTCCTTCGCTCCTGGGCACTATCTGACAGTTCTCTTTCTCCAATATGTCCTTTAAAAATACTTGAAACAGGTTTTTGTCCCCGTGGCCCTCATCTGCAGGGTGCCCTGGGTGTGGTCAGCGAGGCGAGGCTGAGGGCATCAGCTGGCTTTCTGGTTGTCCTGGACGAAGCCCCATCGTGTTGACCAGGCTGCTTTTCCCAGTTTCTTTCCCTTCCCTGTGGGAGTTCGAGGTGCTTCTCCATCTCCTTCCACGGAGAAACTTTTTTTTTAAACAAGAAAGAAGTGTGTCCTTAGTGAGTCACTTAAAATAATCCAGAAGCAGTGTGTGGTGTGCTTACTGCTGGATCCTTATTATCTCACTGGTATGGAAAGCCGTGGGAAGGGTGGCGTGAAGTGTTGGGCAGTGGAGGCAGGTGGAGGGTGACACCCAGTGTGCACAGGCATCTGAGGAAGCATCAGACTGGGGCCAGGGGACGGGTGGTGCTCAGCGTCCACTCACAACATAGCCACTCTTTTTTTTTTTTTTTGGTGCATAGCTACCATACTTTCTTTTTCGTTTTTTTATTGTGGTAACATTGGTTTATAACATTATATAAATTTCAGGTGTACATCATTGTAT